AGCTTCCGTTGACCATTTTCTCACTGTTCTCTTTATTGCAGGTTGCATCTGAACAAGGGGTTTATATTTTGAGCAGAGAAACACAAGATTGTGATCTGATTTGCCAAAAGGGGGTCTTGCTTTAGTGATGTATGAATCCTTGACATTTGCATAAAACAAGTCCAGTGTTTTGTTTTCTCTGGTAGAGCAGCTGACAAACTGTTGGATTGTCAGAAGTGTAGCAGAGAGAGGCATGATTAAAATCCCCAGATATGGCAACAAACGCACTATGGTGTTGTGTCTGTAGCTTAGCAACCTTGGAGCTGATGACATCACACGCAGTCTCGGCAACAGCATTGGGTTGAATGTAAACAGTTGCCAAAATAACACTGGTGAACTCTCTTGGCAAATAATATGGACGACAACTTAGGGCTAACAGTTCAATATCTGGACTGCAGAGATGACACTTCACAGTAACATGTCCAGGATTACACCATCTGTTGTTCACAAGCACTGCCAACCCACCTCCTTTCCTTTTGCCACTCCTCTTTAAATTTCTATCTGCTCGTATGGTCAGAAAGACTGGCAAGGAAACGCTGGAGTCGGGGATATGATCCTGCAGCCATGTCTCAATGAAACACATAACACTGCATTCCCAATACTCTGGATGGGTCCTTGTTAGGGGTTGAAGTTCATCCAACTTGTTTCCCAGCAATCTCACATTGCCCATCATAATTGATGGAAGAGATGGTTTAAACTTCATTCTTCTCTCTTTCTCCCTCTTCTTTGCTCCTGTTCTGCATCCACGACACCTCCTTTTCAACTCATTTGGGATTTGAGGCTGTAGTTGAGATATTATTGGAGCTTTGGAGATGTTAATCAGCTGCTCCCGGTTGTAAAAAAACAACCTTGTTGTTATGGTTACGCATCATAACAAATGTCCAAAAGCAAAGATATTTCTGTAAAAATCCTTCCAGCTGCTCAGCATCCGACACCAGAGGAAATAATCATCCAAAAAAAGTGATTTATATCCAGAAAAAAGAGGAATTAATGTTTTCAAAAGTAATATCTCAGAATGAAAGTAACAGAGTCATTCCAACATGCAGCCACCTTAAGCGGCGCAATTCTAGAACAATCCCACATCTGTGCTGATGTGAGCTGGCGTGCGCTGAGGGAGGGTGCACGTGCCCTGACCATGTGGAACCGGATTAGTACTGCCGCGGGTGCGCGGCGTTCCTATGCCGCGCACAGGCTGCGGGCTCACATCCATGCTGATGTGAGCTGAGGGAAGGTGCGCGCGCCCGAGCATGCGGAACCGGTTTAGGACTGCCGTGGGTGCGCAGCGTTCCTATGCCACGCACAAGCTGTGGGCTCACATCCATGCTGATGTGAGCTGACGTGCGCTGAGGGAAGATGGGAAGGTCGAGAACCCTGGAAATTACCTCTTTTACCAGAAGTTCCTGGACTTCTGCGTTTAGGAATGAGACCTGGTCTGGCGATGACAGAACCGTCTCTAAAACTCCTCTGAACGGAGAGGGTTGAGCTGCAAATTGTAGCGTATAACCTTTGTTGATCAGCCTGCTCATCCATCTGTCTAGAGAGCACGTCCGCTGCCACTCCACGTAACGTTCGTGGAGTGGGCGCGCGTTTATGTGGTGCTTCATGTTTCTTACAGATGTCAGCCAGTTTACAGCCTCGACCGCCGTCATGCGTCGCGGAAGTGTGCTCCGCGTGACCCAAGGCGAGGCTTTCTCGAAAAGGCTCTGAGCGCACTTCTGTGCCGCGCTCAAGCTTTGGGTTCACATTCATGTCGATGTGAACTGGCGTGTGTTCAGGAGAGGTGTGCGCACCTTCAACAATGCGGCGCTGATTGGGTAAAAGCTGCTGGCGTCATGGGAGCGTGCGTTTGACATCACTGCGGTGAGAAGCTTTCAGCTCCTGCTGAGAGCGAGGATTCCCACTGGATTCGTTCTGCGGTCTCACATTCATGCTGATGCGAGCCGGCGTGTGCTGGGGAGAGGTGTGCGCGCCTTCATCAATGCAGCGCCGTTTGGGTGAAGGCTGCCGGCATCTTGGGAGCGCACGTTTGACACCGCTGCAGTGAAAAGCGTGCAGCTCGGGCTGAGAGCGAGTTATCCCACTGGACTCATTCTGCGGACCACATTCACATCGACTGCTGTGTCATGCGAGCGTCTCGTGTTTATCTTAAAGCTGCGGTGATTTTGAAAAACCTGTTTTAGGACACCGGCTCGTTTTGTGTGGAGGATGTGTAAAGAGAAGCCGCTGTGAGATCATTCTAACTGACAGACAGGCTGAATCAGACACTTTAATCTTTGAATGATGTTCGTGTTTTATTTCAAAAACTCTTGTCATCATTGCACACACACATCCCCCGCAAGACGCCCTGCAGAGGGAGCTCTTGTCTCCTCAGGCAGGTCTGTCCCTCCGGCCTCTGAGAAGCTGTACGTCAGTGGCGCAACGTATTGTTCGCTGCGGCCGCATGGAACGCACACTGGTGAGCTCGGTTGGAGCGCGACGTCACCGTCTGGTCATGCCTCCCCGGAGGCGCAGGACGCTGGTCCAACATGGACATCTTTGCTCCGAGAGCCTCCGCCAAGCTTGGCTCTGGGGGGGGGGGGGGGGCACCGAGGGAATTTCCACTTAGTTAAACCCCTCCACTCTGGTGATGGGCGCGGATGTGGAAAACCAGCGCTCTCAGTCTACCAGGTCTGGCTGCAGCCTTGTTCCAGTAAGACGTCACTGCTGGGAAAACGAGGCCAGATAAGATCAGGATGGCGAGCCGGGGTGGAGCCAAAAAACCTTCCCGCTAGATCATCTGATCTGGGCGGGGGGAAGGAGAGGGACGGAAAAAAGTCCCTTTGTGTCAGCCACCTCCTGGATTATGCCGGGCAGCTCCAGAGGAGGGCACCGACGGCTGGCAGCGGTGTGGTCGCCGATGCGAAAAAAGGTCCAGGGGGGGGGGGCAATAGCTCAGCCCCCCTCGTTCCGACACTACGCTCTCCAGGAGGGAGTGAGCAGCGGGGGCTGCTGCTGACATCGCCTGTTCCAGAGGAACCATCCGATTCGCTCCGAGAGTTGGCGATAAAAGGAAGAATAAAAGATGGCGTCGTCCAGCGTGTAGCGACCCGCCACTGAGAAATATTCCTCGGCGCTTACCTTGAAACAAGGCTGCTCGTCTGCTTCTCCTCAGGGAGGAGAACTCACCGGGACGGCAGGAGGTTGGCGTGGCGGGACCACAGGCAGCCTTAACAAAGGTTGTGCTGGTAAAGCTGGACAACTTCCCTTCTTCGTTCTTCTTAGCTTGCTGAAGAAAAATGGGAGCCAATTACCTGCTCTTAACGTAATTTATACGGACCGGGTGGGGCCCACACAACAGGTGGGCGTGGACAAAATTTTTCAGTGCGATGCTTTGCATGACGGGATAAAACCCACCAGCGACAGCCTTAAAGGGCGAAGCCTATACGAAATAGAACTGCGCCGCCTGAATTAATGTTTTATAGTAAAAGTGGGGGGGGGGGGGGGGCCAAAAAAATTTTTTTTTTTTTTATGTGGGGGGGGGGACTTGTCCCCTTCACATATAATGGTTGCGACGCCTATGGTATGAGTTCATTCGCTGTTGCGACCCTTGAAGAAGCCACAAGAAGACAACCCCCACCCCCCAATACATCTCCTTCTGTATGTTCCTATCTAACCACAGAAACATCTGTGTCTCCTTAAAGTACCATGGTGGTTGTGTATATGTTACCATTATATATATTTCTTCAAAAATAAAAAAGTGAATACTGTAATTGTGAGGTTTTACAAATGGCGGGTTTGTTTCTTGAGAAGAAGACACCCTTACATTGATGTTGCTCTTTGGCTGTTAATGGCCTGCAGTCTGCTGACATCAAATCCTCAGCTCGACTCGGCTCGCTTAGAACCTCGGGTCAATAAGTCCTGAAAGCAAAACTGGAGATAGGTGGGGTCACCCAATGGAAAGTTTTTGAACCCGCACCGAGTCGAGCTAATGGAAAAGGTACCGATAGACGACCAGATAAAGCTGTGGGTTTTAGTGCATAGTACAAATGTACTACAGTGTACTTTGCATACTACGGGCAAACTGTAGTATTCAATAACTTTCCCACTCATCAACCCAAGACATACACAATATACATTAGACTCATTACACTCAACTGTTTTACAACAAATTCTTTATGTTGTTCAAATGGAAAAAAAAAATTCAAAATATGCCAACATGTCACAAATATTTAACAGTATCAGCCTAGATACAGATTTCAAAATTCTAATAAAAATAAGTAATTTAGGACTTTACAGCAATCACGTCAAGCACAAACCAGTTCCAGCCTGTCCACAGATCTTAGTGTGTTTTTATTAACACAGAATCTGTTGGTTTTCCTGTGCTGAAAATAACTGTAGACCAAAAATTACATTTTGAATTGTCCTTTGGATAAATCAAGACCCTTAATGTCATCAGTGTCATTATGAGCTTTGAAAAAACACAAGTGGTGGGGGGTGGGATCTGTTACAGTAAGTTTTGATGGATTAAAAATTGATTTGAGTTTAAAAATAATAACGCTTGACGTCCTTTACATAAACAATAAAAGCAAGTGACACAATGAGGCAGAATATTGTAACTTGTGGCTGCAGCTCCAGAAATGTGAGTCATTCACTGACATATACACCTGATCTGAAGAGACACCTGCAGATTCCTGACATATTCAGAGTAAAAAAAAAAAAAAAAAAAAACTCATTACACTGCTGATCATTGTACAACAAAACCCCAAACATGAAAGAAAAAGTGTCAAAAAAAGACATTAAAGAGCACAAACACTTGGATTAATAATATTCTGGTGTAGAATTAGCCTGACGTTAATGTTGCAGTTGTTTGAGAGTAAAAATAAACGGCACACATTGAGGGAGCGCCTCAGAAGAATCAGCTAACGCATAAATCCAGGTGAGTTTTAATCACATTAAAGATCAGAAGTGTGTTGTGAGATAACCTGGTTCCTTGGCGTCTCTGCTCCATGCTGTGTGCTCCAGTGAACCATACTGAAGAGAAGATTCCTGCTTCTTCTCCATCGGTGCCACCGCTGCTCTCCAGCTGCAGATGATGGGGGAGGGTCTCGCAGCCTCATCGTGAGCAGATGCTCACCAACTCTCCAAGGCAGAGTGAGTGCAGATGTTCCTCAGCAGCTCAGCAAATAAACAGCACCATCTGGTGACTTCTGAACAAAAACACATGGAGAGCTGTTCTCGTTCTTCACCTGAGTCGACGTTCAAGCATTATAAAAAGCAACAACTCTGTTTTACAAAAATCATTTATTTACACAATTACATCACAATCTGTAAATATATCCTTCATAAGTCAGAATAATGTGCAAAACATCATGAATCTTAAACTCATGACATAACAGAAACACACACTTAAAATGTCCGATATTCATCATTCACCTGATCACACGTCTTATTCCTGAGGGGTTTAGAGACGGACATCAAAGCTGTGAGGGTGCAAACTAGGGATGCACCGATCCACTTTTTTTTACTTCCGATCCGATTCCCGATACCTAAATCTAAATATCGGCCGATACCGATCCAGTTCTGATATCATTATCATCATTGATTTTATATGAGGCTGTAATAATCTCCTGTCAAGTACAATTTGTCCAAATATACGCATGCACGTCCAAAAAGGCAACTTGAGGTAAGTTGTATTATTGTTGGATAAGTTTTAAAGTTAGAATTAAATTCTGCTAACACAAAACATGTTTATTTTTATTCCTAGTTTTAAAGTGGATATTAGTCATTAATTTAAGTGATTGTTTAGTTATTTTATATTTTTTTTAAAATAAGGGGCAGATATAAGAATTGTTTTTCTTCTTTCTGCACTCTTTTTCATTCAATGTTTTCTTTCTGATGATTTTTTTTTAATTTTGTTTCTTTTAAATGAATGAATAAATGACTAAAATAAAATAAAATGTTAAATGGCTTCAAACACCTGGCATAAACCAACAGGCATGTTCCTGTTTTTAGTATTTTACATCACTTTATAGGCCCTGTGATGGACTTGCGACCCGTCCAGGGTGTACCCCGCCCCTCGCACAGCGATTGCTGGACATGGGCACCGGCGACCCCCGTGACCCAAAATGGAATAAGCGGGTAAAGAAAATGGATGGATGGATGGACATCACTTTATAATGTAGCTGTTTTTGTTTTTAATATATATAATTTTCAAATCATATGTTTTTTTTATGATTGTCTACTGTTGTACTGATAAATATCTCCTGGAGGGTAAACTATATCTTGGCTGCAAGTATCAAGCTGTGAAATCTTTCGTTTTCTACAACTGATAGTGGTTGGTCATTAATTATGATGAAGTTTAGCAACTTCTCAGTAAACATTCGAGCTCCGTGGCTTCAGCAATGTCTTCTTCTTGTTCAATCCGAAGCAGGCAGCCTGATTTGGGGCAGCCGCGCTCAGTCTGTCCCTCCTCAGAGACGGGCAGACTGAGTGGGGCAGATTGGACGCGGCTGGCCGGGGTTGAGTCGCCTGTTGTGGGTTGAGCAAATAGCAGTGCCCCGCTTAAGCCACAGAGCTCGAATGTCCATCGTAAAACTAACTTTACCGTGGTTTAATGTGGCGCTATGGCTCTGCAGACATTGCACGATGCTGTCTTGTTTTGTGGTGTTTCTAGTGTAAAATACTTCCACACAGGGGACATGTTTAGATGAAAAGTTTGTTAGCTGTTAGCCACAGTGCTGCTAACTCAGTACTCACGTTGTAGCTGGCTGCAAACTATGAAATGGACTTCCTGAATGTGAGGCGGGTCTGATTACTCTGGGTTCATGAGACACGCCGCCGTACAGGAAATCCATTCGATAGTTTGAAGCCAACTTGCATCATGGATTGGAAATATCAGCAGGTGGATCGGAAAAATCTGATACGTAAATTATGCTGGTATCGGAGGCTGATACCGATACTGGATTGGATCGGACCCATCCCTAGTGCAAACATAAAAAAGCTGCTCACAGGCATTTAAAAAAATTAATCAAATCAAGAATTTAACTTTTTCAAGTGTAAATAAACAGGAGGTGTCAGATTTAAAATAGCCCTTGATAAGATGAAGAACACCACATCATGGTTATTAAACATTACAATGTTTCACAGTAACAAACAGAAAGTTTCGCTCCATGTTTAACACAGAACGTGCTCTCTCCCTTTGCTTTTCTAAAAAAATTAAAAAATGCAATTTTAGTGCAAAAAATCGATGTTTTAAAAACTGTTACGGTTTAACAAAATAGTACTCAAATTCAGACAAGGCTGAGA